CCCCTGCCTACGGGCTGATCTCTGCCTGAGAGCTTGCTTTCCTGAGAGCCCTGACAACACAGGTTTTGAAATTCACCAACAGGCCACAGTTCAGCAAAGACTCCTTAAAATGGAGTCTTCTGGAGGCCTTACGATAAATGAGGTATGGATGAACCAATATAGAATGAACTGCCCTAGTTAAAAACTAATAACACAACACAGAATCCTTACCATGTTCTAAGCATGTATGTGTTATATCCTCTCATTGGATTTACCAAAAAAAAAAATTTTTAGTACCTCCATCTTCTAGTTGGGGAAACTGAGGCCAGAGAGTTTGAGTGACCGGCCCAAGATAACACAGCTCCTAATTAGAAAGGCCCAGTTGTCCACAATATTTTATTGTGGAAAAAAAAAAGCATAATGTGGAATATTCTGCAATATTATGCATATTATAGTTCTATGTATAAATTACATATATATCTGTGTATGTGTACATATATATATATATACACACAAGTAGGATATGTGCATATATAGTTAAAATGTTTATATATACATGTATATATAAACAATGTATAAATGTATAAACTATATATATGAGTGGGTGTACATATGTGTGTATAAACATGTACAAATGTATAAAGTATATATGTATAAATTATTTATATATATGAGGGTGTGTGTATATTTATATATATAAATAAGATACGTGTGTATATAGTAGAAGTGTTTATATATACATGTATAAATTATATGAGTGTGTCTATATGTACAAATGTATAAATGTATATATGTATAAATTATATATATGTGTGTATATATAATATATATATTTACAAATAAGAGATGTGCATATATAGTCAAAATGTTTATAAATATGTGTAAATTGCAAATACATATGTTTATATATATGTAAAAAGTCAAACCTCTGTGGGGACATGCGCTGAGCAAACACCACATGCTCTTTTGGGGTTTGGCAGAACCTTGTAACTTGTCTTTCCCTGACCTTGGCTGCAGACAGAGCAAGGGTGGAAATTACTAGGGGCGTTCCAACAGACACATCTGATGGACTGAAACTTAAATCAATAAAACGCATCTTGCAACGCTGGTTAGGTCTGTGGGTGCACATGAAAACTTCATGAAGCCTTTTTCTTATAAGTTGCCAGTCAAGGGATGAAAACAGCTCTCTGCCTTCCTCAAGAACAGTACAGTAAGAACAAGACCCCAACAAACACGCCCCTCCCCGAAAAAGCTAGAATCCTCTCCTGTTGGTTATGTAATCCCCATATACCTTCATAACCCCTCTCTCCATCCCTCTGGTCTGCACCCACATTTATACTGTTAAAACTGATAGAATGGGGGACCAGCAGTTAGCGTAATGGCTATGTCGCTGGACTCCCATGTAGTTGACCACAGTTCGAGTCCCAGACCTGGTGGCTTAAA